TAGGAGAAGTAAGCCATTCCGTTACACTGGATGGCCCGATAGGGGAAATTTTAAGTTCTATCGCAGTATCGCTGAACTCCTTGAGGATGATGGTATCTTAAGAGATTCGTTAACGAAACTATTAAAAACTAAGCAAAATCGAGAAATTTAACCTGGAAGGACGCGAAAGACCGACTAAGCTAGGTAAACGCAACCGTCTTGTCTTAAAATTTAGAGATTGAAAACTAAACTCCTTGGAATTGCTGATACCAAATAAAATCCACTAGAAACCCCGCCGAAAACGGACCAAAAACGACACAATTGAGCCTGGGAAAAGAGAACCGATTACGCCAGGTATTTCTGGAGCGAGTTTTCGCCCTCTAAAAATCTGCGGTTAAACTGCTTGAAGAAGATGGTAAAACAGGGAAGTAAGAACTAAACAATCCCGAACAAATTTTTTGAAAAGAGTAACCCACCCAGGCAGTGTGCTGGCCTGCTGGGTGGGGGAATGGGGGAAGGGGAGGGGGTGTTTGGCTGGGGGTCGCGCCCACTGAGGGAATAGAAAAGAGAGAGAGAGAGAGAGAGAGAGAGAGAGAGAAGAGAGAGAGAAAACGAGGGTATAGCGGGAAAGAGGGAAAGAGAAGCAGATAGAGGGGGTGTCCCGTGGGGGGTTGTGAAGGGGGAGGGGTGATCCCCCCTTCCTCCCCCTCCACAACCCGATCCATTTTTATAAAGAGGGGAGGGGAGGGGGAGGAAGAGAATTTTCAGCTGGTGAGGTACGGTATATTTAAATTTTCAGAGTGATATCTCAAAAAAATCGGAGGATACTGTAGTAAGGAATTAAAATGCCCAAAAATGCGGAAATGCGCCAAAATCCAAAAGAATTTTAAAAGAATTTTGGCCCGGTAATGCACGGTAACGATTAATTTAATTTCTAGCGGATTTACAATGCTGAATACGGTAGAGAAGCCAGAAAGGTTTGTTTAGAAAAATCAGGGATTACGGTCGCCCTAGGAGGCGGTGAGTGAAAAGCTAGAGAATACTCCAAAAAACGCATTTTTCCCAATTTTCTAGAACTTTAAACATTTTAAAGAGCCGTAGAAGGCAGTCAGCTTAAATTCCTCTTTTGATAATCCATTAAAGCAGGCCTTTTGAGGCCCTTAAAACGGTTGAGGGTGATCCGGTTATCTCTTTTCTCTCTCTCTCTCTCTCTCTCTCTCTCTCTCTTCTCTTCCTCTCTTATCTTTTATACCGTATTCCTCAGCCAAAAAAAAACGAGAATCAAGAGAATTAAGAGAAATTCGAACTTGCTGGCTTTCAAACTCGAGCCCCAAGAATGACCCTATAGCCAATAGGGGCATGCTAGCAGAGACCATTTGAACTCTCAGGTCCGGTATCGGGGCCAGAAATTGACGGGATTTAGCGATGCCCCCCAATGGGTGGATCGATAGCCCCCCAACGGGTCTCCCGCCAACCCCCCAAAATGAAAGAAGTGGGGGAGGGTGAAAGAGAGCGGAAGAGAGAAGAAGAGAGAAGAAAGGGGGGAGGGCGGGAGGAAGGGTGCACCCCCCTCCCCTCGACAACAATCATTCACCCTCAACACTACCCACCCTTGCCAAGGGGGGAAAATGGGGGAATCGATTGACATAGAAGACTCGGTGGGGGGGGAGTGGAATAAGCCGATCGATCGATCAGCGCCGGTACAAAATATAGCTCGAGTTCGATAAAGATATTTAAAAAAGTCTTATTAAAAAGTATTAAAATTTTAAAATGGGGTCAAATCGGACGCTATACCGATATAAGGTAAACTAAAAATATGAGGTTTCAAATCGAATGGATCGACTAATTGGTCGAAAAACCATGAGCTCCGCCTTGTTGGTCGAGCGTCTCCAGGAGGAAATATAATTAAAATTCGTCTGAAAATAGGTTTCTAAAGGCTCTAGAATCAAGGCCTTCTGAAGCGGCACTGTAACAGCATGCCGATGCGGGTGATAAGTCCACTACATTAAAAATTCACCATGCCTTTTACGCTTACTTCCAAAAAGGCATTGTAACGGCTGCCGATCGGCTATTAGGGAAAAACGACGCCGACCAAGATAGCCAAAAATAATTTGTAGCTGAGGTCAGCTAGTTCCTTGCAATCTGTTGCCCGCCAAGCTGACCTTTCATCCCAGATGGTGGGTTCCGCGCCGATTGTTTATGCAAATGCCACACTAAAGGTATGGCTGATTAGAGAAAACTCAGTCGCGGTACCCCGCCGGATCGCTAGCAACATGTTAGAGTGTTAACAACGACAAGCTAATTTCAATCTCGGCCAGCAAGGGGACTATTCGGAATTTACGAAAAGAGAGGAGCACGCAGAATCTATCAAAATACACCCGCAAAAATGCAAGACTTTGCGATCGTAAATAGCAAAAGCTTATTTTCTTCTTTATTCGCGCACCACCAAAAAAAAACACACAAACAACGGTGAAACTGTAACAAATCCACTGATCAGGGAAATACAACAAGACAGTGTCACCGAAAACGGGGGAAAGGCTCGAAAATACACGAAGACTATCACAAAAACAGCAAAATCGGAAAAATTCATTATTTTTTGACAATCTGCACGACGTCCTCGTGGTCCAGGAGGTGCTTGATGCCGACCCGTTGTGGCGAAAATTTCGGTGACGTGCCCCAGACGATTGCGTACCTAGAAAAAATGGTAAATGAAATAGTTATAATTCCAATCAAAAGAAATTTAAGAAGATTTAGAATTTATACGTAAGAAATTTTTACTGTTTTTTGAGAGTTTTCGATGCATAAAATTACAAAAACAAACAAAAACAAGGCAGGCTCACCTAAATTGCGCGGCGAGTGTTCGATGGAGTGCGTGGCAACAGTGCTCGATCGTCGCGCCCCTTCGCAAAATGATGCCGTCCTCGGGGCCTAAAAACTGTATAATCGCTTACATTGTATTTATACCAAGATCCGGCTGATTGCCGGGTTTCTTCGTGTAGACGCGCACGAGCGCCAAGTAGTCCCAGATGACGTCCACCAAATAGTCGAGGTTCAGGTTCATCTCGCACGAAATTACGACGTGGTGGGGGAGTCTGGAAAAAAGAAAATCATCAATATTTTTCTGTTTTTTTCATACTATGAAGTTTTAACTTCAAAATGTACCTAGCCAACCGATCCACCTCCTCGATACAAATACAGTCGACCTTGTTGTACACGTAGAGACACGGGATGTAGACGCGATTACCCTGGAGCACGTCGATGAACTCATCAATACTAAAAAAACATCAAATGTCGATCTCAGGAAGGCAGCTTACGTCGCATCTTCTCGGAAAACGACGTCGGCGTTGAACAGCTTGTATTCGTGGAGCACGTGCATGATCAGCTTCTCGTTGACGTGGGTCAGCGGGACGGTGTGCGTGAATCGGACGCCGCCACCCTCAAAAACAATTTGTTTAGAAAGAGAGCTTTTCGCCACGTGAAATAGCCGATTCGATAGAACTTGAGATCCTGAAATAGCCATTTATAAAAAGGAATAAAAATTATAATGGCGTTCGCAAGCATCCGCTCTAAGGCGGACGATTTTATCACCTTTCAGCATGCTGACCGAAATGGTAACTTTCACGCGATTTTATCGAATACGGTTAGTTCAGCATTTTTAGAACTATGGAGCTTGTTTGAAAACTCAAGTTTGATCGAATCGGCTATCTCATAGCAAAACCACATTATCACCTAAAAAAGAACACGATTTTATAGAAAATAATGAACCTTCTTGATTTGCACGTAGATTTGCGGCTTCTTCTTGTTTAACCGGATGCCGACAGAATCGAGTTCACGCTCAAGTAGCGCTCGTTGCTGGTCACTCTTCCCCGCGTCGAGCATCATCAGCACCAAGTCGGCCGTTTTTGCGACAGCAATGACCTGTCGACCACGACCTAAAAGACAAGAAATTAATGGAAACAGTTAATGCACATTACCTTTTCCTTGTGCGGCACCTTCAATAATTCCGGGCAAATCGAGGAGTTGGATCTTCGCGCCTTCGTGTTCAATGACTCCTAAAAACGGTAAATCAACAACATTTTACAGCAGTTTATACCCGGGATACAAGTCAGCGTCGTGAATTCATAGCCGGCCGCCTCGGAGTGGGTCTTCGTTAGCGAAGAAAGAAGAGTAGATTTTCCGACTGACGGGAAACCCACCTAAAAATATACATAATTTAATAAAATTATATTATAACCATGGCCACTCGAGCATCACCACTCTTCATTACATCGAAGCCCTCTCCTTTCGCTCCGCCTTTCCCTGTTGGTTCGAGTAGTTGCTGTCGAAGTTTGGCCAATTTAGCCTAAACCAAACAAATTAAAAATTACCGTAAAAGTCTTACTTTTAACAACCCAATGTGATATTCGGTGGCCTTGTTCTTCTGGGTGCGCGCCATCTCGCGCTCGATCTCCTGGATCTTCTCCACGACACCCATTTTGCCTGAAAAATTGATAGTAAATCAGTTGTAAATATCGGGAAAAACACTAGCAGCGAAAGAAATGGATAATTCTGCTACATTAGGAAAAGCTGGAGATATAACGAGGAAATTCTCTGGTGGAGCTGACACATGGCGCCATTGTCAGCAGTAAAAGGACGTAGCGGACCCCATACCCAGCATAAGCGATTGTAGAGCGCGACCGGAAGTCCTACTAACTATTAAGATTCGAAAACAAGACTGAGAAATGGTGCTCCATATCTAGAAAACATCAAATATGCTACTCCCAACTGGCAAATGCGAAATTTTACTCCACTAGTAACAAAATCAACGCGGCGAAACTCTAAACTAGATAAAACAAGTGTATCCGCAGCAAAGTTGTGTTCCCTTGCAGCGGCTCAAAAACTTTCTCGTATTTTCAATCGAGTGTGATACTTTACAAAGTTGTAAGAGTGACAATTTATCGCATTAAGATACCGTGTTCCTAGTCAACAGTAAAAGCAACTTAAAAATTCAAAAGGCAACGGGAACAGGTATAAATAAATCAAGGCAGTTTAGGGTCGAGCTGCTGCTGCTGGAGGTGGTTGGCGAGGACGACGGACTGGGCGTCGATTATCAGCTGCTCCGAGCAGCCGTGTTCCTTCAGCATCTGCGGGTCGACCACCGGGCGCTCGGCCAGCTCGCTGTAGACGAGGTGCATCGGGCGTTGTACCTAAAAAGAAGGATTCATTTTCTAACAAAAGTATAATTTACCTTTGCCCAATGGACCGGGTCGAAAACTGTGTACGTGCCGCGCTCCGACGAGCCCGTCTGGTCGAGAAAGTTTGCAAACTTGTTCCGCGTCAACCAGATGCATTCCACCTTGTGATAGCGCCAGTTTTGCGCGTAACTAAAAAAAAATAAATAAAATACAGTTTTCTCTTGGCACAATTATTTCCCATAGAAAAAGAGGAACTTTTTGCGAACTTAGTCGTAAAAGGACGAAAAAAGAAAAAGATAAACAAGAATTTTTGACCGAAACTTCACGCTTCGAAACATTTTTCGAGCGTTAGAAAGAACTTTACAAAGCTTTAACTAGTGATTCAACTAAACATGACTGAAAAAATACGTAAAAATCCTTTGCTAATACTAGATGAAAAGCGTAAAGCCTCCGTAAAGCCGAAAAAAAACTAATAAAAAGAATAAGAGACCGTACAGTTCGGCTGCAGCAGCCAGCTGGTATGCCTCGCCGGTCATGTTGTAGAAGAGGTAGAAGAGGACGTCCTCGTGCTGCTTGTTCAGCTGCGGGCCGGCCAGTCGGTGGAGGAGGTTGGTGGAGAATCGGTAGGCGGGCGGCGTCTCGACGTCGATTTCGAAGGGTCGGGCCGGGAAGTTGGCGAACGGGCCGCCAAAGCGGCGCAGCAACAGCGTGTTCTTCTGACTAAAAAAAAAAAAGAATCATCCGAAAATCAAGGAAAATTACGGTGCCGGTGATGTCAATTCCATGCCGAGCGACGCCAGGTTCATCCCGAGGGCTAACATCGTGGTGGGCGACTCGCGAGGTAGGCGCAGGTAGGAGGCGATCGCCATCAGCCCGTATTGGTCCTTCAGCATTCCGTCGGGGACCGCTATTTCATCTGAAAAGAGACAATAACTCAAAAATGTTTGGACAGCTAAAGCAGCCGCGTGAAAAAGGTTTTCATAGTAAAAACAACGCCGAAAAAGTAAAAATAAACACACCGCCAGGTAAATTCGTGTCCGATTGCGTTGGCATTGCTTTCGGCGCTTGGTTGTCGCTTATCGTGTCTTCGAAAGTACTTTGTAACTAAAACAAAGTAGATTCAACACTTCGGACAAAAAAGTACCGATTGGTTGGCGGATGTGGGCTCTTGGTAGCTACTGAGGAGCGCCTCCGAGCAGCTCGCCTCGTCGTCGCGCACTCGCTTGTCGTTGGAAGAGGAGCCGGGTAGAGCGGGGAAGTCCTCGAAGCTGAACGCCGAATCGTTCTTTCCGCCGGGCATTTTTCTAAAAAAACCAGATTTAGAAACTTATAGAAAAGGAAAAGAAATAGAGAAAGGAAAGGGCGTTAGTTCTAGGGGGCGCGAAAGGGTGAATCCGGGTTGCCGAAAAACTACTAGAATTCTTTGAGATACTGTTCTAAAAGTATTTTGAAAACGAAAAGGACCGAAATTGCTAAACCGCTTGAAATAACATCCAAAATTACAAAAATATCAATCGACTCTCTTTTTTTGCAAAAATAAAAACGCAATTTGCAAAATTTTGTTGAAAAGTGGAAATGATGACGCGTTTTATTGCTCCCCAACTCGAGGCGACTACGGTAGATTTGTTGCAGTCTAGTGACACGTTATAGTATCGGTGCGTACTTTTCTTTTTAATGTTTTTTTTAATTTTTAAAACAAAATAAATTCGTCACGAGGTAAATAAGGTAAAAACTTTATTAGCAGGCAAATGTTAATAGAAAGAGAAAGCCTTGAAATATTTTTTGAAGATCGTTTTTCCGAGGATTTAGAGGGGTTTTCAGTAACAGACTTCTAGTGGTAGTAAAGTTTTAGTTTTATTCCAAACCCAGGAAAAAAATCTTGCCCTTTATTTTCATGCCCGCCTCGGGGATTGTCGTTGCAGATTTGGCCGACATCTAACCGGTCATCAATTTGTGGAGTTTTTCTGCAAGTAAGGAACTACACTGCCGGACATAATTTTGGCCCACCCCAAATTTTCGTGAAATTCTCGGCCCCGTACTAAGGAACGGGGAAACGCTTCAAGTATGTTATTCACCACGCTATTGAAAAACAAGGGCTTAAAGGAAATCCCGGAAAAAATTTTACATTTTGCGAAAATCCATTTTTTAGTCGAAATTCCATTCTGGCAAGTGGTCATAATTTTGGCCCACCCAAAGAAACCGGGTCAAATGCACCCAAAAACAGCTTTAAATTTTATTCAATCAATGAATTAATAATCGATTGGTCCACCCGAACAAGGGATTATTTGGAAAAGTCGATTGTCCAGGCTCATGATCAGGTTACCGATGCACTGCTGCGCGAGGGTCAGCCATGCCTCTAAGATCGCCTTCTTGGGTGATTTAACGGTTTATTAGGGGTTATTTTTGAAGCAGAGCATTGTCAACGTGTAACCCCAATGGTCGCGGCGATCGTCCGGAGGTGTACTCGTACTGGTTCTGGTTTACCTTCTTGGAGATGAGGTTGAGCAAAACCGAGTTTGAGCCACACTGCCCAGTGGAAGGAAAGCTGAGTCGCAAAGCCTTAGCTTTTGAAGTCTCGTGTCTGGGAATTTGTGGCTATGCTCCTGATGGCTCGCGCTTTGATTGGCACGACCCCACGGGTGAAAATTTTGCTTTTCTCACGACGAAATTCTAGGAAATGGGATGTGACGGCCGTAGACCCCTGCTGCTTGACTGGAAGCATAAAACCGAACCTCATCTCCAAGAAGATAAACCAGAACCAGTACGAGTACACCTCCGGACGATTGCCGCGACCATTTATCCGGCCAAATCCGGGCGAGAACTTCGTGTCCGGCAAATTAATGCCTCGATTGATCAGGAAAACCGCTCAAAATCGAGATTCCGACGTCACGGAATTCCACTTTTTGCGCGGGTAGTCAATTCCCGCGTCGCGATAGGATAAAACACAGTTGGGGTTACACGTTGACAATGCTCTGCTTCAAAAATAACCCCTAATAAACCGTTAAATCACCCAAGAAGGCGATCTTAGAGGCATGGCTGACCCTCGCGCAGCAGTGCATCGGTAACCTGATCATGAGCCTGGACAATCGACTTTTCCAAATAATCCCTTGTTCGGGTGGACCAATCGATTATTAATTCATTGATTGAATAAAATTTAAAGCTGTTTTTGGGTGCATTTGACCCGGTTTCTTTGGGTGGGCCAAAATTATGACCACTTGCCAGAATGGAATTTCGACTAAAAAATGGATTTTCGCAAAATGTAAATTTTTTTCCGGGATTTCCTTTAAGCCCTTGTTTTTCAATAGCGTGGTGAATAACATACTTGAAGCGTTTCCCCGTTCCTTAGTACGGGGCCGAGAATTTCACGAAAATTTGGGGTGGGCCAAAATTATGTCCGGCAGTGTACTTGAAATGGAATAAAAAGTTAGAAAGCTTTAAAAACTATTTCGAACGAGCTTTTGCTTCTACAACCTTTAACCCAGATGATAAGTATCCTCGCTGGGTGCATTGTTGTTCAGTTGATGTTTATAGAAATCTGATCTCACTGCCACACCTGGCCCGGCTACGACAGTCTGATGGTCCAACTCGCCAGCCTAAAATGGCGATTGCTAATGATTAATTTTGGCGTTCATAGCGTTATTATGCCTTAATTTACTTCGAATATGTTGCTGCAGGTCTCTACAATCTCGACTTGTGGCAATTTTTCCACAATGCGCCGACTGCCTATCATCCGTCGGCTTCACTGCGAGGACTATTTCCCTCGCTAAACAACGATACCTACACTGTTTTTCAAATTCGTAGGTTCAATAGAAGAAAACAAAAAAAATGCTATTTCAGGTGAATATCAAACAGCTCAACTGGCCAACATCCATGACTCAAATTTGATCCTGACGTAGTGGAATCGAATTGTCGCCTGAAGAATTTATCAGCGAAGCACAAGAGAAGCCGGACATCCTCGAGAAACAAAGCAGCTCTAAGTTGTAGGTTCCTCGCAAATTCAGTGCTTTTAAAACGAGACAAAAGCATAATATCTCGGATCAGTTGGCCCTCATTTAACAAAATTACCCCGGTACTATCCAATTTCGAAAAAAAAACGTAGAAAGACGAACAAAAGAAGACGGAGTCCAGACTACCGCCCCTCGAAGGCACAAGGTAAATATTCATTTTAGGAGGAAGATATCGCAACCCGGGGTTCTACATCCACCAGAACAACAATGGTAGCCAATTTACTTCACAAACAACCACACCATCCGATCTACCTGCCGGTAAACTCGGTGACATGACACCTACGGTCACGTATCCATGCTTTGCCCGAGCGCAATTTAAAATCAATTGTCCATTAATCCAAATTTTTGAAAAATCTTTTTCCCCAGATCCTCTGCGCGCCATCCCTGTTTTTCGATTTTTCCTCCCAATTTATGGGGCTGCTTCAATTTGCCTATAATGCGTTCCCACTCACCCCGCTTCAATAATTTGCCTCAAAACCCACACACTCTAGAGAATCCGGTCTTCCGGGTATAACATTAAATTTTTTTTGCTGCCTTGGGAGTGTCGAAACTACCCTCTAATGATTAGAAATGGATAAAGCTTAGAAAGGTCTGGCCAATTTCCCAGTCTTTGGGGAACTTGTCTCTCCCACTGAATTCGGCTTACCTTCCCTGAAATTTTACAAGTTTGATGCGTCTTCACGCCTCGTGGTATTAAAGGCGAACCTTATATGATCGCCATACCTCGGGATTATGGTTAAAAGGCCACGGTTCGCACCCAAAATTCCCTGGGAAAACCATAAACGCGGTACCTTTATATTATTTTTTTCTAACGGAACAACAGGCGCAGACCGTACATACGTATCTGAAGACGAAATTCCATTGCTGTTAACGATCTAAAGCAAGTGTGTTGCTCTCTGATCGGGCACCCAAACTACATACCATGCCGTGGAGACCCACTTTCCACCACTGTGTCAAATCAGGACATCCGCGCTTGATTTGGCCGGATGATGTCGATCCTCTCTAAATTTACATGGGCCCCGAGTTCCTTATCCCCTCTCCTTATCTAACCCCAGGCAAGGCTATTAAAGGCGAGGCTGCACCAAAAATGTTAGCTGGAAGATTGAACTCGTACCGATATTGCAAACCACTGGGTGATGCTTAGAATCCTTTCCACAAAAAAAAAATGAAAAAATCTACAATAGACTCAACTGTCACATGTGCGTAAGACGGGGCCGTATATCGGTAAGATGATTGTCGGAACTGAGATCCGACCATTATTCAGAAATGGAATGCGTAGGTTAACTAGGAGCAGCGGGGCCCTATTTCGAAAGCTCGTCAGGGGTTTCGAAAATAAGCGCTGGGCGGAGCCCGTATGGGCCCACTATAAAAAAGCCTGCCCGGCCCCCACTAGCTCACTCTCTGAACAAACTTCACAGCCATCGTGCTCCCCCCGCTGTCGTGGCCCAGACTAGGCTGCGACCTTTGCGCGGTCTGTGAACATTCAGAAGATTTACAATTTATTATAAAATTCCATTCCTGGATAGCCACCTCCCGTAAATCTAGATTATTGTAATAATTGCATCCCCTACTTCTCGTACAATAAAAATATACCCCAGTGACCCCCAGACCTCTACTAAGAACACCGACTGTAAGCTCCTTGGGCGTCACAATGATTATCATCTCGATTGGTCAGATTCCGCTCTTATTTTTGGCTCCCAAAGCGCGACTTCAAATAATTTTGAACACCAGCTGCAGATGAATTTTTTTCACAAACGCTGTCACGTCAAGTCAGCCCCTGTCGAAACGACCCCATCAAG